CCGCCGCCGCCGCCGCCGCCGCCGCCGCCGCCGCCGCCGCCGCCGCTGCCGCCGCCGCTCCGCGCTCCCCGCCCGAGCCCGTTGCCATGATCACTCAGGCTCTGGTCGACAGGGACGAGTCACCGCCTCGGGACGGGGCCCCGCAAGGGACAATCGCCCGCCGGGGCCCGGCGACCTCACAAGCGAGCGCGCCCACGTGACCGAGCCTGTCACAGAGGTGGCGGCGGCCATCTTGGAAGAGGGCAGCCGAGGCCCTGACAACCGCGGAAGCCGCCAAGTTGCTGAGCCCTCGGGGCCTGGCAAGGCATGGCTCATAGTGAGCTTGAGGGCAAAAGGTGCTGCGTTCTTGTCCCGTTCCCGAGCCTGGAAGAAGAAGGACTTGAGAGGAGCGACATCTTCCTCAAACCCGAGACTCAGTTTCCCCAGCCCTATCCACACTCGGGTAACTCCAGACCCATAACTGTCCACTTTTCTGTTGCCTCAGACTGAGAGACGGGACACATACTAAACACCTTTGTCGGTGTTTAGTATGTCCCACGGAACGGAGAAACCCTTCAGATTCCTGGATGTGTAGAGGACATCAACAATTTTTTTTTATTATAGTAAAAAGTATATAACAAAATTTACCATTTAGCTATTTTTATTTATTATTTTATGTGTGTGTGTATTTTGCCTGTATGTATGTATGTGTACCATGTGTGCGCCTGGTGCTGGAGGAGGCCAGAAGAGGGCATCAGAGTCCCTGAGACTGGAGTGACAAAATGATTGTGACCTGCCATGTGGCGGTGGGAAATGACCCCAGGTCCTCTGGAAAAGGGGCCAGTGTTCTTTACCGCTGAGCCATCTCTCCAGCCCTCATTTTAACTATTTGTGATACATAGTTCAGTGGCACTCGGGACATTCATATTGTTGTACAAACCATCACTAGCACTCGGCTCCAGAACTTCCCATATTGAAAGCATATCCGTGAACTAATTCCTGGGATCCCCACCCCCCACCCCAGCCCTGGCAGCTACGGCACTACTTCACCCTTCAATCGAAATACTGGGGCACCCCTTGTGTTTGGCTTCTCAAGGTCTTTCTTCACGTCATAGCGGGAGTCAATTCCATTCCATCTTAAAGCTTACAAATAAATATTCTATATGTTCATACACATACATTTTCCATACACCTATCTTCAGACTTTTGGATTCTTTTAATCCCTGACTCATGTGGCTAACATTGCCATTAACATTCATGTACAAGTGTTTCTTTGAGCCCCTGCTTTCAATTTTTCATTGCTGCCATACTTTTTTTGTTGTTTAGATGGCCTCTTCACATAGCCCAGGCTGTCCTGTGTGGACCAGCTGGCCTCAAACACAAAAATCTGCCTGCCTCTGCCTCCTGAGTGCTGAGCCACTATTCCTTACTAAGGTTGGTGGGGGAGGGCGGTGTTAAAGTTGCTGTGTTGATTCTAAGGCCACCAATGTCAAGAACCAGTGACAAGAGTCTCAGCCGCAGGAGGCCTTTGAAAAACTTGTGGAGCTGTCCGTGGTACCGGAAAGAGTCCCTCTCTGCCCAGTCATTCTCTCTCTCCCTCCACACCTGACAATCCTGTCTCGGGTTTCAGTAGCTGCCGCCACCCTCACTCACTAATGCTTGAAAAATCGTTAAGGCTTAAACAGCCCATCTTCCTCCTTTCTTAACGCTGGTCCAACCCTAAAGTCTTGTGGCTTTTACATTGAGATATTGTTTCCCTTGCCTTCCCCGCTGTCCCTGCATCTGCTGCCTCTGCCTTCGGTCTGAGCGGTTGCAGCAGCCTCCTCATGGGTGTCCCTGCTTCTTGTCTCTCTTACACTCCCATCCGTTCACACTGCGGTCAGAACTGTTCCCTCCAGGTGAGATAATTATGGAAGGGAGAAAATCAGGATGAAGCATGAGGCCACATGGGTTTTCTGAGAATTCAAAGCCAGGCTCCCCATCAGACACAGACTATAACCTGAATCTTGAGAACAGGGCAGGCAAAGTTAGACGGTGTGGCCACAGTGGAGGCCACACCCAGAGCCAGTACAGGGCCTTACTGAAAGAAGAGATAAGGAAAAGACGTGGTGCCACAGATGCAAAAGGAAAGCAGCAGCCTTTGGGAGTGGGGAAGCTGACTGGACCAGGTAAAACTCCCAGGGCACAAAGGCCCATTGTCAGGCTCTGTCAGTGCAGGAGATACAGCTCATGTCTCAGGAAAGTCCCCAGAACACCTTAGCAGACATTCCAGTCCTTCAGGAGGGGCCCCCAAGAGAAGCATGCACCGTGACAGCTGAGAGCAAAGGTCAGGTCAGGGTGAGGGACTGCCTCACAACTTCAAGGCAGGAAGTTTGGCTTGTCTGCCTCCATTACTGTCTTGCCAGTCTAGGAGACAGAAGTAAGAAATGCACTGCTCTTGTGGGCCTCAGTGACCTGGAGCCTAGCCCAATGCCTGGCAGAGAGAAGGTACTCAGGAACTATTGTATGAATGAATGAATCAATGGATCAGTGAGTGAAAATGTACATGGTTCCAACATTTCACCCCGAGGAAACAGCTAAGTTAATCTGGCAAACGCTGTGTGTGACAGCTTTAGCCCTAGAGGAAAATGTGGGTGATGGAGCATCGAGGGAACTGCAAACGCGCTGTAATTACTGGGTTTAAAAACTGCCCGACATAAAGAGAGCCTGAAAGAGTTTGGAGACAAATAGGCACAGCTGTGGCACCGGAGCCACGACGTCTTGCTCGAATGTTTCCTTTCCGTTTGGGAAAACTGTAGCAGCCTTGTGGCTTTTATGCCCCTGAACCCCCAAATCAAGTCTATTTCTGGAGACTGCTTCGAGAAATCAGAAAAGACAAAGCCGATTATTGATGAGTAAACACTCTACGACAAGCCCTGAACTGTCCACTGCAGATGTCCTGTCATCACTGGGACAGATCCATGGTGCGCAGATGGTGAAAGAAATAGCTCCTCAGAGAACCCATTTACCCAAGTCACACAGTAACGGCAAAGACAAGATTTTAACGTGGGGTTGGCTCCCAGTTCCTCACAGTGTGTTCTGTGCAGATGTAAGAACACTAATTATTGGCTACTAAAAGATAATATTCAAGCCAGGCCTGGTGATGTGCACCTTTAATCCCAGAACTCAGGAGGCAGAGGCAGGCGAATCTCTGTGAGTTAGGGGCCAGCCCAGTCTACAAATTGACTTCCAGGACAGCCAGGCCTACACACAGAGAAAACCTATCTCAAAAAGCCAAAAACCAAAAGCAAAACCAAAAAGAAAAAAAAAAAAAAAAAAGCGAAAAACAAAGCAAAGCAAAAAACAAGAATATGTTCAGAGAAAATCACTGGAAGTTGATATTTCTAAATATGAATCGTGATTATTCTGGATTGTGTCTATTAAGTGTGCCATATGTATTTTTTTTTATTCGCTTCTATGTTTTCCAAACTTTCTGCAACAAGCATAAAGTTCCTTTGGCAACTGGAAAATAAAATTTTAAATAAAAAAAAATGGTTATTGTTCTATCACTTTTCCAGCAGGTTCATTCCTGCAGGGGAAAGTCAGGAAGAGGTTGTCTTTTGAGAGAGGAGCTTAGGCCACTTTTAAGTCTGATTTTTTTTCTTTTACTGGCAAGGTCTGCCACCAGGTGGCGCTAGAGGTCCGACCTTTGAAGCGTCGGCGGTTGACGGACCGGGAAGGCGGCCACAGCAGTCTAACGCGCTGAACAGCTCCCACCTGCCTCTGCACAAAGACACACAGGGTAGACTTTTGCGAGTGGTGATCCTTCTGCCTGCTACACCCTCCCCCTTCACTGCACTTAACCCATCTATTTGGTGGAGCACCTTGAAAGTTCCAGACTTAGTGAAGCCAAAACCTCTTCTTGGGAGATGGTCTGACCCCCTGACTCACTGATTAAAATGAAGTTAATGTTAAACGATGCCACATTTTAAAGAGCCATACTGTCCACTGTCTGCTTTATGTAAGAACGGAGAATATTCCCTAAGCAAAAGTCCGCATCGGGTGGGTCCTGCTTCCGGGAAGAGGCTTGCAAAATGCTGTGTAATGTTGGCACAGTGAATGCTTCCTCCTGTCCGTGCATGCTGTGAGGGGGGGGGGGGGGGGGGGGGGGGGGGGGGGGGATGCTCCCGAGGAGAGGACAGAGATGAGAGCTGGAAAGCCTGGCAGAAACAACTGGGGTCAAGAAGTCCCCGGATATTGAATAGGGATGGAAGACAGTTTGAGGACAGGGGTTGGGGGATGGTAAAGAGGTGGAGAGGCCAGCAAGGCCAGAGTCA